AGCATTAACTTAAATTGTAAACCAGCGAGCATAGAGGATATCGATATGTGCGTCAAAAAGCTAACAGATGACGTCAAGTGGGCCATGGAGAAGTCGATACCCAGAAATTATGAAAATTTTAATGTAAATAACATAGATCCAGAAACGAAAAATCTAATTAAACAAAGAAATAGTTTAAGAAAACAATTCAATAAGGCCAAAAACTTAGACGAAAAAAAACAAATTAAATATTCTAGAAATCAACTTGCAAAGCTTATTACTGAAAAAATTAAAAATAGAAATAATAAAAACTGGGATAATAAACTAACAACACTCAAAGTCCAAGACAACACACTATGGAAAATGACAAAATATTTTACAAAAAAAAGAGATTCAAAAATTCCACCACTTCATGGCCCACAAGGACTAGTCTTCAGCTCCCAAGGGAAAGCGGATGTACTCGCGCGGCAATTCGAAAGGGTACATCACCTAACCGATCACTTCGGCACAGAAAACTTCGATGATTTTGTCAAAAATAACGTAACCAACATTGTAAATAGCGACGTAGATACCGACACCATAGAGCTTGTCTCCTACGGTGAAATAATTAAAGCTATCAAAAATACAAGACCAAAAAAGGCCCCAGGAGAGGACGGGATCCAAAATATAATATTAAAAAACTTTCCTCGCAAAGCAATCGTGTGTCTAATATATATTTTTAATAGCTGTCTTAAACATTCATATTTTCCGAAAGCGTGGAAAAATGCTAACATATTGGCCTTTCCTAAACCTGGAAAAGAAAAAAATTTTCCCCAAAATTACAGGCCTATTAGCCTCCTGTGCACTCACAGCAAAATCTTTGAAACAATAATACTAAATAGAATTCGTAGCTTTGAAGCAAAAAATAAAAACATAATAAAAGAACAATTTGGATTCAAACACCATCATAGTACAATACAACAACTCGCTAGAATTACAAATGAAATCTCAACAAATTATAATCTAAACAGATCAACTGCCATGCTCCTTTTAGATATCGAAAAAGCTTTTGACACCGTGTGGCATGAAGGTTTGATATTCAAACTTAACAAGGTCGGCATACCATTATATATAATTAAAGTTCTTTATTCGTATCTTAAAAATCGCACTTTTACAGTCTCAGTCAAAAATCATAATTCTAGTTTACAAAACATACATGCTGGAGTCCCACAGGGGTCTATCCTAGGACCAATACTCTTTTTATATTACATTAATAACATACCGAAGCATACAAATACAAGCCTAGCATTATTTGCAGATGATACAGCGATCCTGGCCTCCTCCTGGTCAAAAAAGAAAGCAATTGAATATATACAAAGGCATATAACCATTATGCGTAAATACTTCGAAAAATGGAAAATAAAAATTAACGATAAAAAAACCGAACTAATTATATTCAGCAAACGCAAAGATAAGCCATGCGATAAAAATGCTTACATAGACATGAATGGAACTAAAATCAAACCTACCACGCAAGTGAAATACCTAGGAGTAACACTAGACAAGGGTCTTACATTTACAAAACATATCCAAAATATCCGAAAAAAAGGACAAGCAGCATCAGCGCTCTTACACAACCTACTTAATAGGAAAAGCAAAATGTCAATTAAAAATAAGTTATTAATTTACAAAGTGATTATACGACCTGTGCTATTGTACGCCTCACCGGTGTGGAGCAATACTTGTGAAAGCAACTATTATAAACTAGAAATAATCCAAAACAAAATACTAAGGAAAATAATTAATGCCGAACCCAGAACTAGCAATAAAAAAATTAGGAATCAACTCAGAATAAAGACAATCAAAGAAATAGTACTTGATCACACCAATAAATTTTACAAATATCAGTTGCACAAGGCAGACGCCCTCGCAGACTTTAAATTTTATAACAAAGAAAATGCACCATTTAAAATTAAACACAAACTACCCTACCATTTGCTGCGCAGTGACCATCAGGAGCAGCAATACGCTAGTCAGTAAGTTCTCTTGTTACCTAGTTTTAAGCTCTAGTAAGTAAGGCCAAACAAAATTAATGTGTTTTTTACCAAATCCTTTTTCACAAAACCCACAAACCATAATAAGTAACATTCATATATCGTTCATAATT